TGCACCCTAAATAACATCTCCGCACCTGTCGCCTAACAAGAAAATGTACGCTACTTAAAATATATTTTAGAGTAGACATAAAGTTGAACCTCGAAAATGATTAAAAGGGGAATTCACAATCCGAAAGCTGCTAGAGGCACCCTGGTGTGCAAAGAGCGTGCAGGACAGCAGTGTGAACAAGAAGCCACACAGCAAAGAAGGGAGAACTGTTTGTAAGGCAGGTTCATTTGTAAGCTGATGAAGCAAGTCTCACACAGCACCCCTGTAAAAAGTCTGGGGCTTACAGGACTGAGCTAGCTCCTCCCACACTGCCAACCTTTTCCATTCATCCTTCAGACCCAGGCCCTCTAGGAGGAAAATGATCGTTTCTGTACTCCTAAAATATAGCACAGGAATCCTAAAAGCAATGTCTGCTACTAAAAGAAAGGAGTCAATTCAAGTTTCAGGAAAGCAAACCCTAAAATGACTAAAAGAAGGTATAAGGTGGTATCCCTGAGGGAAGCTTATAATAGATTGGGATTTTTTTACAGGGTAGGTGACAGTCAAGGCCATGAAAGGATTTCTCCTCAACTTGGGGATAATACTGGCTACAACTGTACTACTGTATTCGTAACACAGGCATTAAGAACTTAGTGACCTGTGGACTCAATCCTGGGGAGGCTACTAAATATCCAGAAAGAACTTATGTCAGCACCTCCTCCATTCCCCTTTACCTGAGAGCTTTTCTGACTGATCCCATTGACTATGTACGTCTGGTGAGTGACTTCTTCGGCCAGCTGTGACCCTGCTGTGCTCAGTAAGCGGGCACTGGACAGGCCTCTCCTCAGGAAGGTGCTCACCGGAATGGGGTCCTTTCCCCTAGTATCATGGTTTGTATCTAGATGTCCCCCCAAAGCCTCATGCGGTCAGAGATGGGCCTTTTTCAGAGGTGGCTAGATTTGGAGCATGTGACTGATCCTCAGTGCAATCCTAGGTTAACAGTGATTACTAAATCAGCCCACTGAATGGACTGGCAATGCCCCAGTCCCGGTAGATCGGATACAATATCAAGGACAGAAAGAGGCTGGTCTGCCCCTTGCTGCTTTGCTGTCTTATGCCTGCCATGAACAGCTGCTCCTCTGTCATGTGCCCCCAACCATGGAGCCAGCCGATTATGGACTGAAACCTCCATAAACTGTGAGCTAAATAAACCTTTCCCGCTTACTTTGGATGTCAGGTGTTTTGTCTTAGCAACGAGAAACGTAACCAAGACACCTAGGAAGAGTCACCACGCTGTGACCAAGCTGTCTGCATTTTGAAACCACAAACTCTCAGTTCTTCACAGGCAACCTCTCCTGCAAAGGCCTAGATGAGCATCAGAGAAAAGGATTCAGCACATAAGGACCCTGGGCTCCTCACTTGGAAAGCAGCAAGCAATCCTGAGCGTGCAGGCTGCTGTGCATCCCTGAAGGACATGACCTAAAGCAGGCTTATTAGAGGTTAAGGCAAACATGTGAGTGAATAACATTAAAGGAACACTCTGAAAAGCATGTCAGTTGATCAAGTTTTTGTGAAAATAACTAAATAAAAAAATTATTTTTGGGCTGAGGACATAGTTCAGCAGCACAAGTGCCTGTCTAACAAGCACAAGGTCCTGAATTTGAGCCCAGTACCAAAAAAAATATTTCTCTTAGATTAAAGAACGCATTTACTCATTTACCTACTTGGTCATTTCATCTAATTCATGTTCAGTGTTAACATTTAGATTATATGGAGAAAGCCTTCAAGTTACCTGTTTAGCACTGTGTATTGACATGAGACACTCTTCTTTGCATGTGTTGTATGTTTGCTTTCAATAGTAAAAGCAGCAAGTTCCTGCATAATCCTAGGTGGGAGGCTGAGGCAGGAGCACTCTAAGTTTGAGCCCATCGTGGGCAATTTGGCAAGACTCTGTTTCAATTCAAAAAATAAAATAAGGCTGGGATATAGCTCAGCGAGAAGACCCAACATTCAATCCCCAGTATCACCCTCAAAAAAAGCAATGTTACGTATGTTTTCCTTAACATAATTCCCTGTCAAGAAGTGAGCATCTACACTACCACTTTTAGGGGCCGCCTAATACCTATTCCACTGTATGATTAGACTATAAAATACTTAACATCCCCTAATAAAAGGCATCGGGATTGTTCACAAACTCACTTTTGTAATGAACACTGCGTCAAGTGCTGCTAAACTTACACTGTTCTGAAACCCTGTCATTTCCGGCTCTACCAATGCTACCATTCACTCTGGGAAGCATCAGACAGATGTCACTTACAAGCTGTCAGAATGATACCTCCTCCTCCTCATATTCCTGTGCCGTTCCCAATCTCTACAATCAGAATTATTCATATGGAGGATTCTCCCACTCCACACTGAGGGTTTTTCCTGCAGTCTATTTTAAAATCATTTTCTATGAAGCTAGCTTTCCTAAGCTGAGTTTTTTTTTTTTTTTTAGAAAAACCCACTTTCTCAGCTATTAGAAAATTAACAGAAGCAGTTCTTGATGCCTGCGTCTCACTGACAGCCTAGCCTGGAATCTTTACTTCTCCCTTGGGTCCAGGCTTAGTGACTTCACAGCCACTTCTCACAGGAAGCCTTCTGCAAATAAACAGTTTTTTTCCACTTTCTGTCCCACAATGCCATTCCTATGATTTCTATTTATGAATCATTTCATTTTTTTTCTGCACAAAATACAAAGCGCATATCTGTTGTTTGTTGCTTGTTTTGTTTTCTATTTCACTAACTTCAGCAATTGTCTTTATTATTTTCTTTAGGTAAGTTCAGCTTCTCTCCAACTTCTTGACTATATATGTAACTTACCCAGTTCCAGTCTTAATGCACTCAGGACACTGTCTCCTCTTGGATTAATTCTTTAGCTGGATCACACAGTTTTAGCAGGAATTATTTTTGTCATTTAGTTTTAAGCCTTTAAAAGAGGCTTCCTCCTTAACCCCAAAGCTCCTTAGGAATATACTTTTTAGTTTTCAAATTTATCTTTTACTCTTTTAATTATTGTTTTCTAATTTAATTGCACTGCAGCCAGGTAATATATCTGTTCAACAATTTTCTGAAGGTTTCGAGACACGGCAACATTTCAAATAGGCCTATGTGCCTCTGGTACAAATTCTAGTAGCTTTTAAATCATGTTGGGTCCATCTTCAAAGTCTTGAGTCTCTTTCTTTATCTAGCAAATGCTAACAGAAATGCGTAAGATCACCCATTACAACTGTGGATTGGCCAATTTCTGCTTTCAATTTTGTCAAATTTTGCTGGCACATGCATATTTCAGAATGATGTTTCCTGTGAACTGTTCTTAACTCTTGCAGCAATCTTCTTTATTCCTAATAATATTGAATTTGCTTTGAATTCTACTTTTTCTAACACTAAAATTTCTACCTTTGCATCGGTTAGGATATGCCTGGTATGTGTTTTCCCAAGCTTTTATTTCTAACCTTTTTTAATCACTTTGAATTATATTCTCTTCCAGGCAGTCTATTGTTAGACAAGCTCAAATTAATGTAAATCTGTTGGGATTTCTACCACCGTATTCTGTGTTTTCTACTGACCATCCTCCCCCACCCCTACACCGGGTTCCATGCTGGTGTGGTCTTGGATAAGAAAATGTTCTGTTTCCATGCTTGTTCTCTTCCCTGGAGATCATATTTGCCTTCTGTAAGGATCTGCCTACCAGCACAGGGTGCAGTGCACAGCTACACCATGAGAGCCACCCTTAGACGGCCCTCAGTGCCTGACAGTCCCTGATGTCAGACCATTAGAATGAAGTTAGCAGAGACCCAGTTCATTTAATACAGCAGGCAGGAAAGTGAACTTGTAGTCAGTGCTTTCAGCCAGGGTAGTGCTTTAAAATACAGCCCCAGCATCAGTAGATATGTTAAAATTTTCCCTTAATTTTGGTGACTGTCACATAAGATTTTACAGAGTCCCACAACTGAAATCCTGTTTTTTTTTTCCTCAAAATAATCACACAGGGTTTACTGCTCTGCCCTTCCTACTTTCCCCCTATGTTAACCTTTATTGCAGAAAATTTGAATTTTCTGAAGTTTCTATCAATAGTATCTGTAAGAATTGGAAATAGTCCAAAATTACACCATGGGAATAGCATTATTGTCCACTAACACATTAGAATACTGTAGAATTCCATCAAATGTTTGCATGAAATCTAGACATAAAAAAAAACAAGACTACGATGTCACAGGCTATTCAGTAGACAAAACACAAAACACCCCCATGTGATACTCGCCTCCACGTGTAACGTATACTCCACGCATCCCCAGGCTACTTGTGAGCTGAGCTAATTCACAATTACTTTAAAATTTTCCCTACAAAGTCACTTAAGTGATGTTCTCTCTTCTTTCTATTCTTTTTTGAACTTTTGGTCGTGGTTGTCACAGTCTTCTTCTTCCTTTTTTAAAAAGAAAACCTAACTTTCAGTTCCTAACAAGGCCTAAGCTGATTTCTCATCCTTTTTAAGTTAACACAAATCAGATCACTGTGGTAAGTTCATATTTCACTACATAAATGTGTGACTGATTTCATTTCCTGGCAGTGATAACGCATTTGGAAAAAAAAAAAAAAGTCCAACTGAAATTCAATTTAAAAAGCGAAGCTTACCGCCTTTCTAAAATACGGGGTGCTCTAACCTGATTTTCTTCTTAACCAGACAGTGGTTCAGAAAAAGGAAGGGGAATTTCGGTCTAAAAAACTGGTACATACCCTCTGCTACAAAAATGCATTTGCCCTATTTAGAGGGCTCTATTTCCTTTACCAAAGCCACTAATTATGAGAGTTAAAAATAAATTTTATTCCTTCTTCTTCGTATTATCATATGGATACCTGTATGATGTAGCAAAGATTGTTTAAAACTATGTAAATATTGAAAATTTAAGACCTAGGTATACAAATGACCGGTTATATTGGCTGGAGTATGTTCTGAATGAAACAAACTTTTGTTTTTCTAGAGGCCCCGACCTGCCACCACTGGCTCCTGAAATGGCAAACAACTTCACCACGCCCTCCCCAGCCCCTCAGGGAAATGGCTGTGACCTCTACACACACCACACCACTGCCAGGATACTCATGCCTCTACATTACAGCCTCATCTTCATCATTGGGCTGGTGGGAAACGTGTTGGCCTTGGTTGTCATTGTTCAAAACAGGAAAAAAATCAACTCTACCACCCTCTATTCAACGAATTTGGTGATTTCTGACATCCTCTTCACCACCGCTTTGCCTACGCGGATAGCCTACTATGCCCTGGGCTTCGACTGGAGACTGGGCGACGCCTTGTGCAGGATAACAGCGCTTGTGTTCTACATCAACACGTATGCGGGCGTCAACTTCATGACCTGCTTGAGCATTGACCGCTTCTTCGCTGTGGTGCACCCGCTACGCTACAATAAGATGAAAAGAGTCGAATATGCAAAAGGGGTTTGCATATTTGTCTGGATCCTAGTATTTGCTCAAACACTCCCACTGCTCATCAACCCCATGTCTAAGGAGGAGGCCGAAAGGACTACATGCATGGAATATCCAAACTTTGAAGACATAGAGTCGCTCCCCTGGATTCTGCTTGGTGCATGCTTCATAGGATTCGTGCTTCCCCTCGTCATCATTCTCATCTGCTACTCTCAGATCTGCTGCAAGCTCTTTAGAACTGCCAAACAAAACCCTCTCAGTGAGAAATCGGGTGTGAATAAAAAGGCTTTCAACACGATCATTTTTATTATTGTTGTTTTTGTTCTCTGCTTCACACCTTACCACGTTGCAATCATTCAGCATATGATTAAAAAGCTTCATTTCCATGATGTTCTAGAATGCGGCCAAAAGCATTCATTCCAGATTTCACTGCACTTCACAGTGTGCCTGATGAACTTTAACTGCTGCATGGACCCTTTCATCTATTTCTTTGCATGTAAAGGGTACAAGAGGAAGGTCATGAAGATGCTGAAACGTCAAGTCAGTGTGTCGCTCTCCAGTGCTGTGAGGTCAGCCCCTGAAGAAAACTCACGTGAGATGACAGAGTCACAGATGATGATACATTCCAAGACTTCAAACGGAAAGTAAACAGGACTATCGTGGACTTAAAGCAACCTGGGATGGCCAACTCTGCAGGACTTCTAAGGCAAATGATCATTCAACTTCCAACTGGGATTGCTTTCAATTCTTTTCACTGTGCACTATTCCCCACAGTCACTGTGGAAGTAAACTGATTGATACATGAGCTTGAGAGAACATAAAGCAAGTTCTGATTCATAAAGAACGTATCAATAGGGAAACTTTTCCTTTTTTAGTGGCACTGGTAACTGAACCCAGGGCCTTGCACTGAACTACATCCCCATTCTTTTTTATTTTTATTTTTTCAAATTTGGAAAAAGTCACTCAGGCTGAATGACCCTCCTGCTTTGGCCTCCTTGAGTGCTGGGATTACAGTGATGTGCTGCCATGTCTAGTTAAGAAGCCATGTCTAACACAATATAAAAAGGAAGGTTTGTGCTAATAAAAACTCAATTTTTACTGCCAATTTCATGCCAATAGTTTGGCAAAAGAGAAAAGACTGATTAGATTGTATACTACCAGTGTAAAAATGTTAATACTGTACAGTATTTTTGGTATGTATTTCTTAAATCCATTATGCTATTTTAGATTTTACGCTTCAGTTAACATTTTTGCTTTGTTGTTTTTGTTGTTGTTGTTGTTGTTGTTCTGAGTCATAACTGTTTCACAGAATACTTTTGGAATAAAAAAGTAAGATGCCACACAGTTATGAGTATGTCCCTCAATGTTCACTGTTAACAACAGCAGAGGTTACAGGGGAATATAATAAGCAGGAGATTTTAACAACAACACTGTAAATTTTGGTGGTGTCTGAGGCAATGAAAGTATCAAGTTTTTTCTCTCAAACAAGTCAGCCTAGGATTTTAAGACCACAGCTAAGCAACAAGACCAGGACTTTGCATGGTGATATCTATTAAGAAGTCTATTTGTCAAATTCTTCTTGGAAGTAAAAAAATATGCATGTATGCTTAGTCTTCCAAGGGTCACTAAAGGATCATTTCTATTTTATTCCCAGGTTGCTAAGACCTTGTGTCTGTATTTCTTGGGTTAGGCAGAAGGTCTGGGTAAGGGTGGGGAAGCAACAGAACACACAGTTGTTACTTGCCGAAGTAACACAGGAAGTAAAATGCAAAACTATAAATCAAGAGTTCTTAGGATTTGTTCCAATATTATACATTTGCTCAAATGAATACCTGAATATGAGTAAGTAATGTGACCTTTCCAAGTATCGTCAATCCATTTGCCAGCTCAAATTTCCCCAAGACAGTATCTCAGGGGACCGTGAAACTAATTTTGATGATGGAAGATAAAGAAATAAAATGCTGAATCATGAGTCATCCCTTAAATTTTTCTTGGGCTTTAGACCCTGGAAATATTTAAATTCTCATCTTGCCCATTTAAATGCTCTTATCTTGCTCAAATAAATCTTAGTGATTGATGCAACACTTCACTGAGCACAGTTCAGCTATGCCATTGCACTGAATTTCATAGCCAGCCTCCTGGCCTTGCAGTCTCTGGTCTTTGTCAGGCCTTAGGGAAGGAGGCGAGACTACTAGAATGGGCCCGTCAAGTGAGTGGGAAGGAAGGGCAAACACCACCACTGGTGATCACTCAGGTGACATTTGAGTCACATCCCTAAACAGAAACCAAGGTGAGGGACATGAAAGGAAAACTGGAGAGAAGTTTCCTTACTTTGAGAGCTTCTCACAGTAAACTAGTTCTATGACCCTCTTATGTTTGAGCCAATAGGTTGCCTAAAGTTAACCACCGGGTTCTAATGGGGCTAATTCTGAGGACACTTCAAATGAGAAAATAAATTTCTGTGGCAAGTTATAAGAGCATCGGTTCCATGTCCTTTTACTCATGAAGTTTACCTCTTCCTCCATCTTACCGCAAATCTGTGTATCATTTATATGTGAATGATTCTACGTAATCATCAGTAGCAAACTAACAGAAAAGTAAATTCTAAACCTATCTCTGACTACAGGTGATTGGTTTTTTTTAAATTTTCTCATTGGCCATCAGCTCTCCTTCCAAATGCTCTCACTGCCTGCTGGGGACCATGACTTCACTTGTATTTCTGGCTTATTCCTCTCACCAGTAAGTAAACTTGGAACACAGGGGCAGTGATAGATGACCCTTGGTACTCCATGACAGAACAAAGACAACTGTGTACCAACACAGTATTTGAAAATCACAATCCTATTAGATTTTCAACATGAATCTGGTGATACATTAACAAGTTAAAGTAATACAGGCAAGCTAGAAAAACTCATCTGGGAAAGAAGATAGACAGGATGGCAGCCAACCACCACCCTCTTTCATAATCCCATTTTTATTTCTATAAAGATCATTTGGTTATTTTTTTAAGCCTTTGAACTATTTGTCTAAATCCACTAAATGCACTGACTAGTCAGTGATAGTATAGAGTAGTCAATGTCAAATGTTAGAAATGGCATCACGTATATTTGAAGAGTTCAAAAACTTACAAAATAGTCCACACATTACATAATGTCTTCATTTCCCCAGCTCTGTGAACAGGATAAGCAGATAGGCCCACCCTCACTAAGTCCAAAAAAGGCAGCTGCTCAGTTAGAGGCAGCATCTGCAAAGCAGCCCTAACTCTATCTCAGCTTCATAAAGAAGATCTAAAGTGCGTGAAAAGGCTGAACGGTGTCATTCTGCACCGGCTGACTACATAATCCTTAAATGGGACCAATAAACCAACAATTGGTAGATGACAATCTGGGCTAGGCTGTGAGTCCCAGGAAGGTGAGGGCCTTCTTCTGTCTTGTACACAGAACTCAGCCCAGCACCTGTCCCATAGAAAGATCTCAAATATTCATTTAACTGGATAGCACATTTCTGAACCACTCCTAGCAATATTCTGGAGTCCCACTGAAATACCTGTGAAGTTCTTATTTCTCAAAAAAATGAAATGCTAGAAATGTGAGAGTGCATGTGTACCTGAAGACAGTTATACAGGTAAGAGCTCCAGAAGACCCTGCAATTTAAACTAGATACATTAAGAACAGAAATGACTGATCAACAATCAATGACAAAACTAGATACAGAAATTTTGGCTTGGAAATAATTTCGTATTTCAAGATGCTCTTGCCATCCAGTAAAAGATAGCATGCAAATTTGAAAGGGGAAACACTGCTCTTAAATTAGCCCTCGAAATGGTCTATTGTGGTTCCTTTTCAGCTCACTGCAATCTGTTACTCTCTGAAAAGCTTAAAAACATTTGCTCATTAGCTATCAGATGAAGAATGAGAAATGAAAGGAACGTGGATTAGTGTTGTGGGTCAAGGACATTCTCTGAACCCAGCAAGGACTACAAAGCGCTCACTAGAACCACTGGCAGAGGTCTCACCTCACACTTGAAAAAGCCTATCGCTCAGAAGAAAGGCCCATGTTAACAAACACAAAGCCTGAATGATGTAGTGGCGAACACTGTTCATCCTGTAGTCTGCATCACCTCCCCAAACACTGTGTAGGTGTTATCTTGATGAATCACGGCCTAAATAGTTGGATTCTCACGATCCCCACTGCACTGATGAGTGAACCACACACCAAGGCCAGAGGGTGCTGAAGAGGTGAGATTCAACCCTGAACCTGCTGGCCTCATCTGCAGCCTGACCTAGAGCAGTCCCAAGGCTGCATCTTACTGACACAGGCTTACCAGAGCTGGCTAGTTTCCTCTAACTACCTGCGCTCCATGCCTGCATTTTCTGTGGCCTCCTGAGCCTTGGACCTGTCCTCATCACATCTGAACTTTGGCTCCTTTCCCCACAGGGTGTCCTAACTTCTCTGCAAACACCACTGTCATTCTCACAACATCTCCTCCTCCTCCCCGACTTACAGGAGAGAGTCGGTGAACAAATCCTTTCTGGCCTTTTCTCCTCTGCCACTTTCTAGTTCATCTTTTCTTTGCCTAACACCATCATTCTAGTCCGGAAGTTGGCCTTCACATATGTAAACTACTACCGCCTCCTCCCCTCTAGGTCTCTCAACTAGAGTCAGAAACTTTAGCCTTCCTTTAGGATGTTGTCCAGAAAGCCAGCACTTTAATATAACCACCATAATACTTGCTAACAATTCTATACCATGGTGCTATAAACGCTTTACACAGTAAGTTCATTTAAGCTTCAGCATTCTGTGAGGCTCATGAAACTCTGGCAGCCCAGCTCCAGCTCTGCACTCTCAAATCATTACATTTTCTCGCCTCAACAAGTAGAATTTTATCCCCCCCACCCCCATCCTGCACTGTGGTTTGTGTGACTACTTCCAGCCAACAAATATGGGGCAAGGGTAGCATGTTATTTCCAGGCTAAAGTGTTAGAAAGCAGAAATCTCAGACGTGGCACCTCTGCTAGACTGGGTCCCCAAAGAAGTAAGACAGAACCACTCTGAGGCCCTAACTACTTGGTTGAACAAGAAACACAAGCTAGAGGCACACGTATGTACTCAGCCACTGGGATTCAGGCTACATTTGTGGCTACCACATAAACTAGCTTATTTTGACCTACTTGGAAGCAAAAAACAAAACACCAAATGCAGAGATGTAAGAAAAGAAAAATGGAAACATCATCCAATTCTCCCAGTAAACACATACTTGTTTTCTTAACTTCATTTTCACTGGATCATTTCACGCTCAAGGACTGAGAGGAGTTCCTCACCATTGACCACATCAAATCCAAGTTCCTCTCCCACACTTTCAACCCCTTCAAACCCAGTCTCCCTGCACTGCCCAGTATGTGCCTTTCTAATCTGTCAGGCTAGATTTGTCTCTCTCCCAAGAACACAGCCCATGTTGGTTCTCATTGGTTGGATCATTCTGCTTCCTGCACTTATTGTCCATGCTTCACTCCAAAGTGTTCTTTCCCTCTAATTCTTCTTTGATGACTTAAACCCTCCCCCCATTTTTCCTCCTTCATTTTACTTGGCCTTTCTAGCTGCAGCACATGGCTTGGACTTTGACATGCCCCCCCAAACAAAACACCAAAAAGAAAGAAAATGCCATGCTAGCCTGGAGACCTGAGCCTAATCACCTTCATCCCACTGTGTCCCACTTTTAAATCTTTTAGATCTCAGTTTTCTTGACAGTGAAACAAATGTCAGATAATATGTAGGCTTTGCCGGCCACTGCATAGCCTAGTCTCTTTCACACACATTTTTCTTGTATCCTTCAACTGAAAACACAAACTCCAAAAGGGTAGAGACTGCTTTCTGCTCTGGGTAGCTCTGGTACCCCTGAACACAGATGACACCTGAAAACATACTGACTCTAGGTCACCACATATTAGCTATATGTTTCATGTTATTAAAATCTAGCAGATAGGAGGTTTATATTATTGCATTCCATAACATGTTAGGCAGCAATAAATTATCACAGAAAATATGTTAAATTGGAAAATGGAATGGTATTTCAGGATCTGTTTTTATTTTCTGCTGACAGTGTAACAGGAGTGTCACAAGCTTTTCCACTTCCTTCCACTTAAGAGAAAGTGACACATGACTACTTACTCTTTATTTCTCTCCTGTAACACACATTCAGACTTACACAAATCTCTACTGCAACATTATACTTTTAGAAAGAAGAAACTATATAGGAAGGTACCATACAGGAGAAATACAAAACACAATTTTTGTTTCAAACACTCTGCAGACCTTCTCTCGTTCTCTCTCTCTCTCTCTCTCTC